TGAAAAATAGGGAATATGAATAGCCATAGCTCCAAATCGCTCCCTCCTAACCAATGGATAGTTGGGAAATCGCATTACACTTGTTCTGAAAATATGCCGTTGGTTCACCAATGACAAGTCACGGCATATTCAAAAAGAACTCTCTGAATGTGAGAAGACTGGCCTCCATTTCTACACTGGCTTGCAACAGAACAGAACATGTGGTCTTACTTCACCATGGTAACACCCAAAAATGCCATCAGGACAGTCGGGGTTTCAAACGATTTGACTTGGCAGTAGCCCAAGCAGGATCAACGGCGCAAAAAACAGCTCGATCACCTTTGTGGACTGGAAGCTGTAGGCACCCTGCGAAGCATCGAAGAGGGATATGTCAATCCTTCAGTTGATAAATGTGCCAATCTCAAAAAAAACAAACAAACAACTGATAATGGCCATTGATTTTTTGAGTAAATGGCCATTGGTAAATGGCCAATCTTCAGTTGATAAATGGCCATTGAGTAAATGTGCCAATCTAAAAGAAAACCGAACAAATAGGATTTTCTTTCCAAAGATTTTCGACGTGGTCTTCGAAATATTCCAGATGAGACATTTACTACGCCCTGTCCAATTCTTGAGTTTCACCAATCCAAGTTTTGTCCGAAACTGCAAACATGGGGTATGTCGGCTACCCCACCAAGAAACCCTGCAGCACGATCAGCTGCACCTTTTGCCAGATGGCTGTCGGTATGACAACCTGGGTTAGATTTGCACCCCCTGTGTCCGCAGTGCCTGTTTTGCACGTAGGACATTCAAAGGGTAGCGGAGCCGGTCGATCAGGTCAGCTTCTTATGACCTTCACGATTCGAAGCTCCAAAACACATCCGGTGCAGATGTTCCCAGATCTTCACCTTGGGCTGCACCTTCGTCACCAAGTCGGCGTCGTTCAAGGCTCCGGCCACTTTCTCAACGGCCAACTCCTTTGCGAAGACCTTGTCCTGAACCCATAGCACGCGGGCTTGGACATGCCTTGTTTTGCCAACTCCTCGACGTTCGGCTAGCGCTTTGGCCGACGAACTGTCAGCACGAAGCACTGTCATCAAAAGCTCGTGCTCCCAGAACTTCACGACGTTCTCGATGTAGACCGCCAAAGTTCCAGCTCTGCACATTGCACAAAATTTTGACTCCATTGAACTCAAAGCCACCACTTTCTGGCAAGCGGCTTTCACCTGGACCACGTGTCCCCCAAGCTTCACCACTGCTCCTGACGTAGATCTTCTGCTCCTCAAGTCTCCTGCCCAATCGCTGTCCGTGTAGGCAACGACCCTCAGCTCGTCCTCATACTGTACCTTGTAGATTCGCTTCAGGTAGGGAACCTTCAGCAAGTAGCGGGCGCACTTCTTCAGCCTCATCCAGTCAGACAGCTTTGGCGTTTTCATTGCCGACGCCAATCCTCTCACAGCGTGGCAAAGATCAGGTCGATCCGTAGTCAAGTAGGCCAACCTCATAGTCATTGACCTGAACTGGCTTGCCTGCTCTGCATCCAGCTCAGCTTGTCGATCGGCCTCGATCACATCCTTCTCCGTCAGCTTGTCCTCCGGAATGTCTACTCCTTTGGTGCCCTCCTTGAATCCAAAGGCCTTCACGAGGATGTCGGTGTGTCTCGCGTCAGCCTCAATCTCCAATCTGCAACCTTCATTGTCCGCTCCATCCGGCACATAGCGCACCAGTCTGTTCAAAAAGAACATTTCTCGGTCATCTCTCTCCAAGTGTTGCCTCCCAGCGCGCAGTGTAGCGACTGTTCAACATCTCATCCATCCACTTCAAACCTGCTTCATCTCCAACCACCAAGAAGTCGTCGCCATGAACGAGTCCAAGTAGTCCACGATCCTTGAACTTGAAGAGTGATGTGCAAAGTGCACTGACCTCTCCTCCATGCTTTGACAAATGGTTCTGCCAATCCTCTTGAAAAATTTTCGAAGCATCCATCGTCCCATACATGCTCCTCTCCAACTTGCCAACCATGGGGACGATGTCATCGTTGTGAACCTTGTCCTCCTCTGGCAACTCCATCCAAATGTCTCTTGCAGCTTTTCCCATGAAGTGGGCTCTCGAGATGTCCCAACTGGCAATCTTTTTCTTGTTCTCTTCACCTCGCTTCCTCGTCATAAACAGCGACAGCAAGGCAAACACCGTCTCCGTAGGCGGCGTAGAGCTGAAAGTCTCATTGGGTAGAAGTTGTTGATCTGGAGCTTTTGCTTTTCGGATTTCTTTTGCAACCAGCCTCGATCGGACTTTCGGGGCGTCGTTGTCGCCCTTGTTGATGTCAATCCACTTGATTTTGAGAAGTGGACCTTGTGCCTCTGATGCTGGCACCCGGGTATAGACCTTCTCACCCTTCAGCCATTGCAACTCCTCCGCTCTGGCTCTCTTCACAAGCTCTGCATCCAACGCTGCTCCAGATGAGTCGTCCAGGAACTCCTGCTGGGACTTCTCAACCTCAGCCTCCCATTCGTTGTAGTCATCTGGGCTTGGACCAGTGAGCTTCTCCTCAATCGAATTGATCATTTTCTTTGCCCTCATCTCTCTTTTCAATCCTCTTAGGATCGCTTCCACCAAGGCAGGTGGATAGACTTGTGCTGCTCTCGCCCTCTGCTCTCCAATCAGCTGGACATGTCGGTGAATCTCTTTTCCCGCCAGCTGGTTTTCACAAACTCCTTGAAGTTCCGCAGCAATCTCCTTGCTGTTTGTCAACCACCATGTCTCCTTTCGAACATGTAGCAGTTCTCCATGAGGGTCTTTCAGCTTCATGCCAAACCGGCACATCGGGCTCTGCACCAGGTAGGTGTCCTCTCTGTTGCTCATCTCTTCGACCTCAGGCATCTTCCAACTGTCGGAGTCTTTTGGGTGCTCATGCAAAAACAAACCACCAAGATTGGCTTGCAACTTGCAACAGGCGATTGATCGCCTCACCCTTTCTCTTCCAACCTTCTCCTCTTCTGCAACCACCTGGGGATCTCTCTTGGCATTGGACAAGTTGCGAAGCTTGCTAAACGTAGTGCACGGAGGGGAACTCGTCACCAGCAGCGGCATCTCCTTGACGATGAGTTGAAGACACTCCTTGTAGTCCTCCTTCAGGTCAAGATTCCAACCTTCTTCAAGATCCACTGCAACTCCATGCCTCATCCCAAAGCGTCCAAGCGCCTTTGTCAAACGCTGAGGCGAAAACACCTCCAGCACATCCAAAGCTCCAAGGTCTGCGACAATCTCCGCGGCCTCGATGCTGCCCATTGCGTCCCCAAGTGCCTCAACTGCCTCAGACCTCTGGGTCCCTTCTAACTCGGCCTGGGTCTCCTGAGCCAAGTCCTCGATGTCCTGTGCTCCTTGTTCTCCACCTTTCCTCTTTGGGCTCGTTGGTGGATCCCCAGGCATTTCTGCAACTGGCTGACTCCCGGAGCTCCCCGCAGGCTCTCCTCCAGCCGCGGTCGCCCGCACCGGCTCTCCTCCAGCCGGGGGCGGTGTCTCCGAAAGCCGTTGTTGCAATGCCACTTCAATCCTCTCATCCTCTTCCTTCTGTTTCTTTGTCACTGCCTCCTTCTTTTCCTCTTGCTCCTCCAGGCACCTTTTGATCCTCGTTCTGCATGAGTCTGTATGGGCAATCTGTTGGAAGCCCATGCCGCGCAGGATGGAGTCACATCCTGCACATCCAGTTGTCCTTCCAAACTTGTTGAGGTGCTCTCTTCTAACTGCCCATGCTCTCTTCGTTGAAGATGTCCTGGTTGTAGAAGCGCTCGGAGCTCCAACCATCGGGCTCTTGTCGATCATCTCCTCACCTTGATCTCCTCCACCAGCTTGTTCTCCAGGTACTTCAGCATGTTCACCTTCTGCAGCACGTAGTGCGACCACAGGCGGAACCACAATCGCAGGCTGTGCTGCCTGCTGCTCCACTGGCTGATCAAGTTCAGGAACTTGTCGACGAACATAGGTCCTCACGTCCCAAGGTGCTCCTCGTAGTCCATCTGGTAGAGCTTCCCATTTCTCCTCCTCGGTGAGGCTGTGGTAAGAGCTCCCGATCAGAACTCCATCTGTTGTCATTGCCAGCACACTCCCAAAACGGTTGTGTGCCCCGAGAAACCTGGCTGGTTTCATTTTCGCCATGTCTCCTCTTCGTCCTTTGCCGATGGGCTTCACCATGATGTTCTCACCAAAGACCGGCATCGGCTTGATCCAACGTTTTCCTGTTCGGCGTTCTTCAGGTGTGCGGCCGTCACTTCCAACTTTGTACCTGTTGGATTGTTCAGCAGCGTACCGTGGGATCCATGTCAAAAGTGGATGCCCTTCTTCAAGTTTGACTCCCAACTTCTTCTCCAGCATGAGCGTCACTGCACGGATACGCCACTTGATCTCCTTGACCGCAGCTTCAGCTTCTCCATTGGCCTTTGAATCGCCCACAGGTGACTCTTCCATGATGGATCGCACCACGCACCGGGCTTTTCTGGCTGCCACGGCTTTGAGAGCAACAAGCGATCTCTCTCCATCGCTCTTCAAAACGATCTGCTTGTACCCGAGCAACTCCAGGAATCGGGTCAGCACTTTCTGTCCAACTCCTTCCACTGCATTCTTCTTGTCCAGGGCTGTTGCAACCATCATCCCTGTCCTCCGATCTTGGGCCACCAAATGCGGCTTCGAACCTTCTTCCTCTCCAAGGTAGAAAAAGTCCATCACAATGGTGTCCACCAGATCCTCATCATGTGGAACTCGTCGATGTTGTTTTGCTGCCCCAGTTGCTTGTATGCATTCTTGGCACCAGCTCCTGTAGACAGCATGTCCAGACGCCTCATGTTCGCGGCGTTCTGCATCGGTTGGTGAAACTGGAGTCCAACCAGGGTTTGCTGCTCTGGCTTCAACGCCTTCGGCTATCACCAAAGCTGGCTCATCCCCCTGATCTCCTCTATCTCCCTCGTCCTCATCCACGGCGCAAACTGGTCGGTGGTGATGTCCTTCTCGTCCTGCTTCTGCGGGTCTCCGATGGTCTCGATACCTCTTCCAAGGCGGTGGAGATGCCTTTGGTGTTTTCGGGCTCTCCTCACCCGGCTGCAGCTCGTGCTCCTTGAGGTAGAAGTTGTAGACGCCGTTCTCCTCGTAGAGCGGGATGATCCCATGGTCTCCATACTGCTTGATCGCCTTGTCGTACGCTGCACCAAGAGCTTGGCAGACAGGATGGCTAAGTGGAATGATGTCTCCTCCGCCAGGCCCCATCCACGTGCAGAAGCCTTTCTTGTGCATCCTGCTGGCGCTCACCAGGATCTTGTGCACGTCGCTGATCTTGCTGTTGACCTTCCGCACGATGCCATGTCTGTCCGTCCCCCTGATGCATCCATCTCCATAGGTTCCGATCACTTCTCCTGACGCTGTCTTCAGCTTGATGTCTTCAGGTTCTCCTTCTCCAAAGTACTCCTTCGGCAGGACCGTGATCGAAGCTCCCGAGTCCAGGTTGCACTTGATCCATCCGTCCTCCACAGAGTTGACTGAAGGACTTCTGCGATCTGCTCGGCTCCTCGATCTGTCCTCTGTCTCAACCTCAACCTCGACTTCCTCCATGTCATCTCGGTATGTTGATGCTGGCTCACTCTTCACCCTTGACGATCTTGTTCTCCTCGAAGGGCTCCTTGAGGAAGACTTAACCGAAATGGTGCAAAGGTCAAGTCCACCAGCTTCTGCAGGAGGTTCAGGTTCTGCTTGTTCCACTGAGGCTGCATTCCCCTTGCCTTTGTTCTGCGTATTGGGCTTTCCTCCTTTTCCTTTTCCATTGCTGGGGAGATTCCAGCACTCAGATTTGCGGTGTCCAATCTTCCCGCAGTGATGGCATTTTCCTTGAAACTTTGCATCCTTCTTCGGGCTGGCACTCCCAGAACTTGGTTGTCCTTTGCCTTTTCCTCCATCACCAGGCTTTTGCCAGCAATCACGTTGTTTGTGGCCAGGCTTGCCACAATTGTTGCAAGTGATCTTGTTCGACCCCTTAGTGTTCTTTCCTTTTCCAACTGCACCTGATCCCACAAGCGATGCGATGTTGCCCGACACGGTCTTGACCAACGCATCGATGTCCATAGGAGCTGCACCATTGTTCGAAGATCCAGCCGCTGGCTTGCTGAAGTTGGAGCTGATGTTCATCTTCGACCCCGTGCGAGCTTCCATGAACGTGACAATCTCACGCTCCATCTCATCGAAAGTCCTCAGTCTCGAATAGTTGAGCATCAGGTGGGTCTCTAACTCCTTCGGCACCAGGCGTTCCAAGGCATTCATTGCAAGGCTATCTGGTAGTGCTTCTCGAACTCCAAGTTGGTCTTTCTTGCGGTCGTACCTCGATCTCAAGGCCTTCCAACGTTCAAGAGCTCCTTGAAGGTTCTCGTAGCTGCTCCTCTCAGGGTTGGTCAATGCCTGAAGCATCACACGCTTCCGGCTCCCCGTAGATGGGTCATAGCGCTTGTGCAGCGCCCTCCAACCTTCAAGTCCACGACCAGAAGCCACGTTGTCGATGAGGTCGAACGGAATCCCCTCTGTCGTTGCTCGCAGCACCACATACAGTTGCTTGTCGAACTCCTCAATCTCTTCCCATTGGTCGGCGGCATCTGCAGTCATCCCAAATGCTGCATCAACCTCCAGCTCGGTCACCTCGGTCTCCATAGTTGCGGCCCATTCAAGAGCCTCCCGACTCTTGCCACCAAAGACTCCACTCACGTAGTCCTCCAACTTGATGGCCCAAAGTCTGAAGCGGGTGTCAGCGTCGTCACCCAACACCTGAGGTTTGCCAAGCCCCCTAGGATCTATCAATCCCTTTGGTTTTCCCATCTTCGCCAACGCATCTGGAAGTTGTTGAAGAGCTTGAAGCAGCTCCTGCACAGGTAGAGCTCCTCCAGCTGTCGGCGACCCTCCAATCTGCTGCTGTGCCTCAAAGGTCGTCAGCCGATCCCTTAGCACCTGGTTCTCCTGCTGGGTCACCTGCACTTGCGTCTGGAGCTGCTGGATCGCAGCTGCAAGTTGAGCTATCTCTCCCTGCTGTGCCATCGTTGTCCTCAGAGACCAGGCCGATCAGGACGTATGGTAGTCCCCCTTGGCAACCTAGGATCACCGCAATGGCCACCAAGAGAAAGTTCCACCACCAGCGCGGCTTCGGGGCTCTCTCAGCCTCCCAAGCCCGGAGAGCCGCACAGCCCCGTGCCGCTGCGCCTCGACGCAGGCACGCTACCATGCAAACATGGGGTATGTCGGCTACCCCACCAAGAAACCCTGCAGCACGATCAGCTGCACCTTTTGCCAGATGGCTGTCGGTATGACAACCTGGGTTAGATTTGCAGAAACTGGATCTTGAGGCCTTCTTTTTTGGGTATCATCTGATGTTTGTCTGGGGTACAGGGTGGGGTCCCCAAGATAGCGTTCAGTTGGTTTATAAGTGGTTGAATTCAATGGTTTATGCTAGATACAACTATAGTTATTTCATGGTTTATAAACCAACTTACAACTGGGGGGCCCTTTTTGGGTATGGCTATGTAGCTGACAGGAATTTCACCAAATCGCAGTCCCATTCTGGCATTTTCCTCAAGTCCTCGAGGATCGACAAATTGGTGTCATCGTGGCTGGGAAACTCTCCCTTAAACCCAGCCCCTCTGGTTATGTCAAGCCATAGCTATTGGAAATGGCCATAGAAATAGTTGATTTACCGAACTTAAAGATGGTGATTTTCCATAGCTATGTAACAGTTTACCAGATACCTATTAAAGATGGTGGATCTTTCCATAGCAAACTGTTAGTTTACCAGAGGGTATAGCTAAAATCAGCAAAGTATTGCTGATTCTCAACCAGCTTTGACTACCAGAGGGTATTTGGAGGATCATTTCACTTGGTTTTTGTGCTTAGTAACCATAGATATAACCCACTAAGAAATGGGAACCAGGCTTCACAACTTACTCATTGAGGCGAACAGCCAAGTGTGCCATTCAAAATACCAGCGAATCATTCATGATATCGGAATTATATCCTAACTGGTTTCTTGGGGACTATAACTCATGATAAGAATCTTTAATAAGATTATCACCAGAAAGTACCATATCCTCATTTTTCAATGGTTCTCCTCACAAGTTCATACCACCCATGACTGGGAATGGTCCTATTAATTTATGGTGACTGGGGGATGGTACGTTTATATGCGTGCAAATGGCAGCCCGTTTTACCCACATCAAAAAGGGCCGAATGTTTACGAACCAAGCCCTCAGATGAGATGGCGCTACCTCAGCAGGTTTCTCCAGAGATGTGCCCTCTGAAAGAAAGGCTTCAATGGCGCTGCGAGCCTTCGCGGATCAGAGATACTTTTCATCCAAAAACATCAACCTTTTCGATAGGAAAAAAACGGGTGAACACAAATCCCTGGATTTAGGGGAATTTGCAATGTTTGAAGAAAGCCAACTATGTATTGGAACCACCAAGATCCTAATGATTGGAGAATCTGCAGACCCCGGAAAATCTGCCGAGCGTTCCAGTGATGCCTCTGGTTATTCAACAGTTTGCGAGAAGCTATGGCCATCATGGAAATAGATGATTTATGATGATTTACCTCTTTGAAAAATGTGATTTTCCTACTTTCAGTAGCCAGAAAGTACCCCTTCATCTTGTCCCTCGGATAATCAATTTTTGGTGTGAACTCTACCATCGAATCAAGTGGATCGAAAAAAAACATCACTACTTGGTGGCTCATCCCACTTAGTAAGTGGGTTATAACCCCAATTATAAATGGGATAAGTAGGGTTAATCCACTTATAACTGGGGTTCCAACTATCCATTCAACTTGGATTAACGGAGATCTTTTCATCCAGTATCTTCAACTTTCGATTGTTGGATCAACTGTCATCCATGATCGACCGATCTGAGCTGTTTCGAGAGAAACGCGGAAACCACTGCCCAGTGGTGCCAACCAAAAAGCAAAGCGACACCGAAACCAAACAAGGGAGTGATTGGGGATGATAAAGAACATATAAAAAACCCGGACTTCAAGGCAGTGAGTCAAAACCATTCAAAACTACATTCTAAACTGGCTACAGCATGCAGGAAACAACCTTCTTGGACGGAAAAAACCCATAGGAAAATGGTCCCTTTCTCGCCTGAGATGAGGACGTGAAAGCATCAATGTCTTCATCTGTGAGATCCGATCCTTTGGACGCCAACTGCAGAAAGGATTCCGCCTGCGAAAGGCTCGTGCAGCTGGAGAGTTTGGATTTTCTGAACATTGCAATCCAATGACAATGACAACATGATATGTACACATATATATATGATAATAATAATAACAACGATAATAATAACAACAATAATAATAACAATAATGATAATAATAACAATAATAATAAACATAATAATAATAAAAATAATAATAACAATAATAACAATAATAACAATAAATAATAATAATAATAATATATATATATAGAAACATGTAGAGATATAGAGATATACAGACATTAGAGATTATAGAGATGAAGTGACGCCAAAAAAGGTGACATCGATTTTTGCCGAAGTCGATGGCAATTTCTTGTTTTTCTATAGGATCATGTGGAAGGGTTTGGGAGAACCAGAAAAAGAACAGCAGCCTTATCTGATGATGGCGCTAACAGCTATACCACTAACCTTTGACTGACGATTGAGTCATATCACATATTGACCCATCATTGGATAATCAGAACCTTTAACAGCTATACCACTATATTAACCCATCATCAGTATCAGTGATCCAGTGATGCAATGATAACAGTCACCCAAGGAACTATAGAAAAACCAACCTTAAGTCATGGAGATGCCCAAAAAAGTCCCACCTGCTCGGGTGAAACCTCCTTCTCCTTCAAGGCCTTCTGAGCCTTTCCGACACTCTGCACCGCCTGCAGCAAAATTCCGAGCCTTTTTTGGTGGATTCATAGGATCATGGGATACATATCACCAAGATGGGTCAAACATTTAAAGAAAAGGACCAGAGATTTAAATCGATTTTCGTAAACATCCAATAGTTGGGCTACTCAATGACTTGACCCATACCCAGATGTTGAATAGGGAATTCTTATGACAAACCACTGAATTTTGGAGTATTGACATGGATTAACCATCCAATCATTGGGGTAATTTTGACTGCCCAACTCGGCTGATGCTTCTCCAACATTGGTTGAGTTGAGTGACGGGAACTACGTAGCTGGGGCCCAGCCAAGCACAGCACGCGGGAGTGGGGATTCAACAGATTTCAGCCCAAATAGGGTGTAAACCAACCATACAGTGGCTGGGGGCTTTTAAATATTTAAAATGCAGGCACGTTTGGAAGTTTGTGGCTCCAGCGATTTACCATTACGGATATATTATGGGATAAACATTACCCTCTGGTAAACTAACGTAACAATGGAAAATCACAATTTTCAATGAGTAATTCCACTATAAATGGCCATTTTCAATAGCTATGTTAAGTTGCCAGGGGGTATCAGCAATCTGATTTGGGTTTGTCAAATTGGGGGGTTGACAGCATGAATGGTGGACATTTTAATGGAGAACATGATGATCAACGAGCAAATTTGTGGGTACAATTTCAAGACAAACCCTTTTAGACCCACAAAATTCATCACTTTTACTGGTTGGTGGTTGAGCCACCTACCACTCTGAAAAATGATGGAGTTCGTCAGTTGGGAATATGATTCACAACTGAATGGAAAGTCATAAAATCCCAGGGTTCCAGTCACCACCAGCCAGACCTAAGTATTGAGCCCATAGATGTCCAACGAAGATGAACAGTGAAGATCAACATGTCCCGGGGACCACGGACAGCTCATGGCTCTGAAATCATGACAATTGATGGTTTATTATACCCTCTGGTAATTCAACATAGCTATTGAAAATGGCCATAGAAATAGTTGATTTTCCCATAAAAAAATGATGATTTTCCATAGTTATGGGACAGTTTGCCAGAGGGTAAATAATCCATTACTGGTTGGTGGTGCAACAACCATCTGGAAAAATGGAGTTCGTCAATGGGAAGGATGACATCCCATATATATATATATATTATGGAAAATAAAAAATATTCCAATCCACCAACCAGCCATGGACTGTGCAATTCATCTTTCACGGAATGTGGGACTCTGCAGTGCCAAAGTCGCTGCCAGTTCATTTTTTGTTGATAAGTCCCAATCCAATGATTTTCTACAGGGTAGGTTGACAAATAAATCATACAGCAATTGGCTTGGTCAGTGATGAATTTTTGGTTAACCCCGGATCCAGTTCCGGCGTCAATGGTGAAACTCCCAAGACTTGAAAAAGTTGTGTTGCTTAAACCTCGAAACCTTTATAAACCATATTAATCCAATATCTATGTGGATTTATCCCATGGTTTCTTTAGGGTGTTTAAGGGCTGAAGTGGACAAGGGATTCATAGTTTTTTTTGTTTTAAATCAATAGTTATATATTCCCTCGTATCAATAATATCCCATTGGTTAATAGTAACATATTTCATTCTTAATAGTTATACATGCCACTCATCGCTATATATGGGGGTTTCTTAAAGTGAGGGATCCCAAAGTCATCTTGGGTTCCAATACTAGAGTGGCCTAATTTTTCATGATTGGGGGTACCCCCCATGACTTAGGAAACCTACATATGCCTCGTTAGGCAGTTGTATATCCCATTAAGAGACTATTATTAACATTGTTGTTGGATATTCCATCAACATTCCATTGTTAATAATAGTTATTAATATGAATATTAACTACTCACTACAACAATCCCATTACATTACATACTTATATGGTAATAGTCAATATCCTTATGCCGTCAATATCCCATTACTTAATATCAATAGTACCATTAATAGTTAGATATCCCATTAATATTTCCACGAATCCCATAGTTACTTGTTAATAGTCATATATATATATATTATATAAATCCCATTAATTACGGTAATAGTTAGATATGGAGGTTTCCAAAAATAGGGGTACCCCCAAATCATCCATTTATAGGTTGATTTTCGATCCAGCTATTGGGGTACCCCCAAAGCAGCTGGGGGCCTTCAGATACTCGCTGTGCGCAGTTGTGTAGGCTGCTCGTTCCTCACCCCGGGCCTGTAGTTGGAGATTTTTGGCGGATTTGAAGAGGGCTTACTAAGATTTTGATGAGGTTTACATGAGGTTTTATGGGGTTTTAATAGGGTCTAATAGACTACTCACATGAGGTTTTGCAGTCAACATGACTGGAGCCATTTAACATGGGCACAACGGGCAATCTTCCAGCAAACCATGTTTGATGACACCGGAGGGATTTATTTCGGTTCAATGGGCTTCAATGGGGTCGAGGATACCCAGGCCTATTCAAAGGCAATGCCAGAGTTTCATAAAGTCATAGCTTTGTGACTGATGGGATTGCACCGCCTTGGTGGCTTTCTGCTGGTCAGCTGTCACCTTCTCGATGTCTTCCTCAAAGCTTTGTTCATCCGATGAAAATGGCTTTGAGACCTGAACATCTGGGGGAAAAGACCTATCTTTATGATTTCAAGCCTCGTTGTTCCCATAATTTCGTGGGATCAATCGCTGTTTTTTCACTAAAGCTGCACATTTTTCAAACAGCGCATGACCAGCGCACCAAGCGACGACGACTTCAGGGATCGATTCTTCGAGGTTTGCAATGTCCACGGAGAGCTTTCCCAAATCAGCCTCCGGAGCGCATTCCACATCAACGGTTGTGATCTGGTTGGTGGTATACCCCTCTGAAAAATGATGGAGTTCGTCAGTTGGGATGATTATTCCCAAAATATGGAAAGTCATAAAATTCCATGGTTCCAAACCACCAACCAGTTGTAAATTCCTATTGATTGTCTCATCAAATCCCATTGATTGTCCCATTATTGGGGGTAAGTGGTTAATAACCATGGTAAATTCATATTCCAAACCACCAACCAGTGATCGGTTGTGATTCGAGTTGCCAGGTGATATGAGGTGATCCCCGAATTTCAACGGAACGCAGCCATTTTTGGGGCCAGGGGTCTGGAAACCATATGACCAGCACAGCCGGGGTTCATGATGGTACCACCTTGGTTGAGGTAAACCATTCCATCTACGAAACAACTTGACTACTGGATGATCGAAAAAAATGAAAGAGCTAAACATGGGCCCCATGGCTTTGAAATTTTGATGTTGGGAAAAAGCCTGAAATTTTGATGGCAAATCCCCATTGTCACATGGCATCAACTTGGGCGAGTTGAGAACCAGGACCCCTAACAAAGATTACCTTCATCGATCCATATTTCGATGATTTCGAGAACATCCTCGACCAAGCTTCAAATCCCAGGTTCAATCCGCCATCGCAGCCCACCTTGATGCTTTCGATCTTATCCTCGCCCTCTTCGATGCCCTTGGCTTTCTCTTTCTGGGTATCTCAGCGAATCTGACATCACTGGAGATTTCATGATCTCACAGGAGAATCTGGAAATTCCTCACTGGAAAAATCACACGCTTTCTTCGAATTTTGCTGGCTTGGTTGGAATATACATAGACAAAGTGTGTATATTTATTAAATAAATACATGTATATTCATATATATATACTATGTATGTAATGCAATGCAATGCAATGTATGTACATATATATATAATACACATACAATACAAATCTATCGGTTTTCAGCTTTCCCAGTTTTTCAGGCCTCCGAACAACCCTTTAAGATCCCGAGCTCTTACAGAACTGCTCGTAGGCAGCGAACTGCACGGCCTCCTTTTGTTTCTCCTGCCATCACTGGAGGACACCTCTGGTTGACAATTCATGGCAATCTCCAATGACACACTGGATTTGGGGCTAAATTCAACGAACTATCCTTTTCTGGTTGGTGGTTGAGCCACCTACCCCTCTGAAAAATGATGGAGTGAGTTCGTCAGTTGGGATGATTTTTCATTCCCAAGTGAATGGAAAGTCATAATCCATTCCATGGTTCCAGTCACCACCAACCAGATCATCATCATATTCCCATTGTTCTTGGTTTATACCCTATAAAAACCACTATTAACCACTATTAACCACTATTAACCAACCTATGGTTCCAGTCACCACCAAGCAGTTTTAGTAGATCAATCGACCCGACTTTCCCAACTCTACGAGGTTAGCATCACCTAGGATCCCTAAAATCAGGGCAAAACTCCACGTTTTTTCCATGCTGAGATCAATGGACTATGTCAAAAGGTAGAACTCATAGAATTCATAGGAATTTCAACCAAATCCTATTATATCCTATGAATCTATGAACTAATCCTATGAATTAATCCTATTTAGGGATGCTTAGATCAATGGAAACACCATGGTTTTCTCTCATAGATTTACGCCCTGGAATACATCCTTCCAACTTCGCTTCAACATCCGGAAACGAAATCGCGATGATGCACTGAACTAACTTGCTGAATTCTATGGTATATGGGGAATATAACTATAGTGAATGATAATGAATGTTTTTTTCAGCAACTCATCACTTTGGGTTTTTGACCCTGTATGATCCGAAGGATCTTCCCCATTGATATGCTTCCACGTTGGATTGCTAGAGGCTTCTGTACCCTTGCCGCGATGTGGATGGGTGAATACTGCCACATACCGTCACATTTTTTTTCATCTGTATGGGTTGATATTCCCAGTAGAAAACAAACAGCGGGATGAACATTGCTTCTCCCTGTCGCTGTCTGAAATGATCATCTGCCGAAAAATCGACTCCCATTCTGACCACCATTTTCCCGCGGGTTGAATCCAGGCTTCCACAAGCACATCGCCTCTTCCCCTTTCTGCTTGACCATGGGGACATCCGTTTTTTCCAAAAATCCAACCATCTACTGACTAGTCAACTAGTCATTACATCATTGGATCACATGACACCAGCATGAAATCACTATATTTAAGGCGCCTCTTCCCCTTGGGTTCTCCAAAATCTGGTTAATCCATAGGCTTGACCAAAACTGCTTGGTGCTTTCAACCTACCCCTCTGAAAAATGATGGACTTCGTCAATGGGAAGGATGACATCCCATATATGGAAAATACTCCAGTCATGTTCCAAACCACCTAATTAGCAAAAAACGTCGATGTCCGATGATTTTCCCCATCGATTTCCGGCGATGATTTCTGGTGATGATTTCCGGTGTCCGGCCTCCTCCCCTTTCTTCTTCATGCTGCTCAGCAGCTCCAGCACCTTCTGCACCGGCGTCGCGCTGACGTCTTCCGCGTGCAGCTGGACCTTGGGTTCCACCAGATGCCTTTCTTCACCCGTGAAATGGGGCAGATTTCACCAAGGAAATCCCAGAAAAATGGAGATCTAGTTTGATGTGAAAAAATCTGATCTAAAGATGTGGTTGTATTGAAAGATGTGGATTCAGTCATGAAACAGCGTGATTTTTGAGCCTCTTTAAATGAGGATTGAGAAACACAAAATGGGATTTCATCATAGACAATGTGTATTTTTTGGGAACCAACACAAAATGGAATGGTGGATCTTTCCAGTTCGTTTTTTGTATGTTTACCAGATTTACCAGAGGGTTATGTCATCATATATCCCATTAAATCCCATTAAATCCCACTAAATCCCATTTAAATACCATTAAATCCCATTAAATCACCATCGAATCACCATTGAATCCCATTAAATTCCATTAAATGCCATTGAACCACCATAGGAAGTAGGTCTTGAAGAGTTACGCCGGCACAACTGACCGTTGAGCTGTGGATGATGGAGGCGGCCTTGAACAACTCAGCTATATCCTCGAGGTTTCCTGAAAGGGGTAGGTTGATAAGTGGTTGAAAAAACCATGGTTTATGGTAGATATAACGAACTAGTATTCATGGGGTTTTGTTATGGTTTATAAACCAACATTCACATCACTGGGGGGCCCCATCCTGTATGGAAAACTCCATGAAAAATAGCTGGGATTCTCCATGAAACCATACAGCGAGCGATCTATTGGGGTACCCCCCATGTTCCTATGGAAAGCCCATATCCCCATATACTACCCTCTGGTTATGACTAACATGGAAAGATCCACCATGCTATTAATAGGTAAACCCAGGTAAACAATCTATTTCGGGAAAACCGAAAACAAAAATCCGAGGGCCAGGCATAGCCACCTAGGAGGAGCAACAGGAAGCGCTTCATTTTGGCGCCCTGGCAGTTGAAAGCCATGGTTCCCCAAGGAAACCATGGATCTTCACTGATCTAAACGAGTTTACCCCAGGGAAACTCTATGTTTTGGGATAGATTCATATCATGATATCTTGTGGAAAAAAAAGAACTTTATAACCAACAAACATAGGGGGCCCCACCTTGTAGACTGCTTGGCGGTTTTTGCCATCCCATTTCAATAGGCTCGTCATGGAAAAATCATCCCATCTGTGTGGTTGGAAACACAAAACCACCCCCAGCCAGTAGATTTCCGAAAAACCGCCATGGATTTCCAGTTCGCTCTTTGTATGATTACTGGAGGGTACATCTAAAGAAATGCGATAAACACCCAAAAAAAATGAAGCGTTCAGCTCCAACATCGGTTTTACCCTTCAGACATTGAACTTGGCAAGAATCACCCATTGACAAATGAGTTCCCCATGAACACCTCTGGTTGGTGGTTGAGCCCTACCCCTCTGAAAATCATGGAGTGAAAGTCAGTTGGGATGATTTTTCATTCCCAACTGAATATGGAAAGTCATAAAATTCCATGGTTCCAAACCACCAACCAGACCTCCATTTATAGGGGATATCCAATTGTCATGTTTGATTTCCACACGGGATATCACAAGAAAAACCATGCAACTTGGAGCATCCCGAGAATCGGAATTCGGTTCATAACTAGAATTTTCAGCCAGTATAACCCAGTTCATGTGGTTAAAACAATGTCATTTTTACCACCCGTAACTGGGAATGGTAAGTTTATACCTACAAATTTCATGGTGACTGGGGGATGGTGCGTGTGTGCGTTTATGGCATTGTTTTTACCCACATCACAGATGGGAAAAAAAAACGAGAAAAACATCATCATCGACCACCAACATCCCACCTGGACAAACCGCCGGGCAGCTGAAGTTTCAAGCCGTAAAGGCCATGGTACAGTGGATTCAAGGCGCCACAAAAATGCTGTCGATTCGACTTGGGAACCTCCCAGGATTCACGCTGGCGTAGTTTTTTTCCCTAGCCTCTGGTAAACTGTTACGTAACTATGGAAAGATCCACCATTAATGGGAAAATCCACGAACTAAATGGCCATTTTCAATAGCTTTTTGTATGTTTACCAGGCCGGGTAAATCGGCATGATCATTACAGAGGATGGAACATGTCTGAAAGCACCAAATTGGTGAAGCACCGTGCCCCGGGCTTTTTTGCGCAGAGAACTCCTGGGAGTCCTGAAGTGTCCAAAAGTTCGCCGAGATTCATTGGCACCACAGTTCTCTAAGGAAAAAACAACAAACGAAACAAGAGAAACACACATGCTGTAGACACAATCAACTTCACAATCTAATTTTTTTCAACATTCTATGGATCATTTCGCAGTACAATTCTCAAGAACTTCTCATACTCTGGTTGCCTCTACAACTCAACTGCATGCAGCAGACTGAAATTTACTCACGGCTATCTTTGGGTTTGTCTGAAATGTTTTTCTTCGGCGGGAAAACCAAGATTTTAAAAATGATTCACTTGTGGACTGAGGGGTACATAGAATCTTTTTCAGACAACACCCCTTGGATTTGTTTCTGGTTGGTGGTACGTTTTAACCATCTTGAAAAATGATGGAGTGAAAGTCAATGGGAAGGATTAAATCTTATCCCATATATGAAATGGAACATAATCCAGTCATGCTTTGACTATAATATATGGGATAATCCTTCCCATTGACTAATATTATCCCATATGGAAAAAATATATATGATATTTCCAGTCATGTTCCAAACCACCAACCATATGCATTTATTTTGGTTTTGGGTTCCCCAAGACCAGTGAGACGGACACGGATCTGTCGCCAAAAAATGAGGGATCCTCCCATCACACCTCCCATCAAACAGTGGAAGTTCAGTCGAAAAGTCTCCATGGATCAGAATCAACCGGATTTTCCATTGAAATTTACCATCATTTTTCATAACCATCTGGCTATGACATTCACAGTTCGCCATGGCTTTTCGATGGCCCTAATCGAAATAGATGGTTTACCGTTCTTAACAATGGTGGATCTTTCCATGGCTATGTAACAAATAACCAGATGGTAGACAAAAAAAACCGGCATCTTCCACATCTCGTTTTCCGCGGGTCTTATGATGTTTTCTTTGCACTTTCCAATGGCTGATTTTTTCGCCACGGAGGATTCGTTGCGTTCCGGAAATCTCTCCAAAACCGACCAAACTTAAGGTCGGTTTCAGGATGTTTGTCGCGACGCACCTTCCAATGTTTTTGGCCAAGGCCCCACGTTGTAAACAACATTGGGTACCCTCTGGTAAACTGTTACATAGTTACATAACTATGGAAAATCACCATTTTTAATGGGCAAATCAATGAACTAAATGGTAATTTTCAATAGCTATGTTAGTTTACCAGAGGGTAAATAGCATGTGGGGGTTTCCCAATGGTACCCAACAATGGATGGTTGAGGAATCATGGTTTATTTCATCTATAAATGGAGAACTGGGGGTACCCATATTTCTTTGGGGCGAGCATCCTTTTGACATGGGAGATGAATACATTAAAATCGAGGTTGGGGGCCAAAGAAGAGACGGGAATTAGGTGATATCAAGGGGTAAAGTATAACTTCAGCCTTTGATTTACAATATGATACCCTCTGGCAAACTAACATAACTATGGAAAATCACCATTTTATAGCTGGGTACCCTGGCAAACTATGAAACATCACCATTTTGATGGTGAAATCAACGAACTTTCAAGTCGATATGGCTTGCGTCTAACAATTTGGGAGGCAAACCCACCCTAAAATGTTGATGCGTCATCATCATTTTCCATGGAAAAACCATGGTACCATTTTTGGCAGATATTCAGATATACCATTTCAGACATGCCCAGAGATGTTTTCTTCATTTTTGGATATTTACCCGCTTCTTTCGAAAAAACTCCACGCATCATGAGGAGATTGCACCGGAATTCGAAACACACATGGCAAATCCTTCATGATGGATGACCCCCAAGATCGGTGTACAATCCAACTTTTGATTATAATTGAGTATATATATATATATATATATCCATATATATCCATATATATATATATGTATTATAATTATATATATATATATATTGTAAATGTTCCAACATTTCCTCAATCCAGCTGGTCCTCATTTCCTTTTTCCTCCATTCAGCATGTCACCATAGTTCATGGCCATAATTCCATCGACGGCCGTTCGCCGCTTGCCGCAGAAGGGTGGGCGGGAGGAGACAGATTTGGGAGCGAAACACAGGGTGTCGCATTGCATTGGTGTGGTCAGGGAACCCCGGAACTTAACATTAAGGGGATAATATTCACATTGGTAGCGGAGCAGCTGGGCTGCCGCTTAAAGCTCCTTTTACTTCAATTTTGGGTGGGATCCAAGTTTGGGGTTTAATTAATCAATTTTGAGTTTTGCAAGGCAAAACGGCACAGCCGTAGATCGAAGTGAGCCATGTCCGGTGAAAGTGGAGCGCATGCGCAAGCAGCAGATCCAGGGAACCCAGGATCAGGGCCACCTACGTCCTTGCCATGGGCCCAAATTCCTCGGTTTGATCCGAGCACAACAGACCTACGAGTCTATGAGCAGAAGATGAAGTTCCTACATGCAATATGGCCAGAAGAACACCTCCAGTACCTCGCACCCAGAGCTGCACTCCTTGTAGAGGGCGCTGCATTCCAGAAAGTTGCACGCTTAGATGGATCAAAGCTGCAGTCAAAACAAGGCATCCAATACTTGGTCGAAGCCTTGGGTGGCCAGTGGGGTAGACTTGGAGCTGAAGAAAAGTATGACCTCTTTGAGAGGGCACTATACACTGTAGTTCAAAAGGGAGATGAAAGCAACAACAGCTACTTGGCCCGGCACGACATAGCTTTCGAAGACCTGGAATCCAAAGGTGTGACAATCAAGGACATTCGGGCCTACATACTGGTCAGGCAGTCTACACTGTCATCTGAGGACAGGAAGAAGATCATCATGGACAATGCCGGGGATCTCACGTATGAAGCTGCTCGAAAGAGCTTGAAGCTGCTGGGATCAAAGTTTTTCCAAGAATTACAGGGTACGAACAAAAGCCAAATTACAAAGAAGTCGTATGAAGCATACAATGCAGATGAAATCGAAGAGGCATCTCCAGCAGTCTTCCAGGAAACTGATGGAGAATGGGATGAGGAATCAATCTATCAGCTCATGGCCGACAATGGTGATGAGGACGCAATCTATATCAATGAGTTCGAAGATCAGATTGTGGAAGCAGTTCAGGAACATCCTGACCTCTCACAGTGCTTTGTGAGCTACCAGGAGGCCAGAGCACGAGTTCGAGAGCGCGCCAGAGCTCGTGGATTCTGGCCCGTGAAGGGCAAAGCAAGAGGGAAAGGATTCACCAAGAAAGGCAAGGGTGGCAACACCTTCAATCAGGGATCCAACTCAGGATTCCTGGGTCGCAAGCGATCACTTGCGGACAGGATAGCAAATTCCACGTGTAGACTTTGTGGAATGGCAGGGCATTGGAAACGAGAATGCCCACAACGTGCCGAGAACAAGAAGCCCGAGCAATCGGCGCTCAATGAGGTCCACCTGGGGTTCCTGGACGAGGATGACGTCGCCCAGGAAGTCATCGAGGTTCTGCCCCCTGACGCAGTGGACTGGGAGGAGGGGCAAAACACAAAATTTTTCAAAAATGATTTAAGAGGGAACCCACCTGATCATGAAACATTGCACAAAAGAAACATTGACCATCAGCGGGGCCGGTTTTTGCATGATGCCATGATGGTTGATAGGGTTTTTGTTGGTTCGAAGTTCTCACAAGACCTGTGCAATCGTTTGCAACGCTGTGGTAGGAAGCACCGTGAATCAGCGGTGGCCAACCACAATACGTTCCCGTGCCAAGGGAAATCAATATCCACTCTGAGTCCGTGTCCATCCAATTTGAAGGCCTCGGTTGAAACAACCCCGGAGGCTGAAACAGTTTTCCAATTTGAAGAAGAAAGCCATGAGGCAATCATTGACACGGGTGCCAGCCGAGCCGTTGTTGGTTCAGACCGGTTGTCCAGCCTAGTTGCGTCATGTGGCATGGAAGGCAAGGTTAAGGTTGCACCTTCTAGTGTTGTTTTCAGGTTTGGCAACTCTGGCACCCTGAAAAGCAATTCAGCCGTGTTTTTCCCACGGAAAACTGGAGGATGGATCAGAGTGGAGGTGGTACCAGGTCAGACACCATTTCTGCTTTCTAACTCAGTCCTTAGAGCTCTTAAAGCAATCATTGATGTGGATGGGGGCATGCTATGGTTCAAGGGGAGCACAACAGGGGTGCCGCTGAAACCATGTAGAAAGAATCTTATGAGTGTCCATTTTGGGAAAATTTTGGCAATCACACCGGAACCACAACTTGGGGAAAGGGATGAAATTCATATGACCACTCAGAACAATGAACCGAATGGAGAAGATCAAGGAAAATACTGTCCCACCAACCACCCGGGAGAAACTGAGACCATGGATGATGTACAGGTAATGGCAGGTCGTCAGGTATCCCAACAAGTTAATGAAAAGTGCCGTATCGCATCACCCGCAGCCGTATGCTCAAAACAGCCATCAAGCCAATCAATCCGCAGTTCAGGAAACGATGTCCAGTCACACGATCGATCTCAGCTATCTGGACAGGCCACTCGACACCAAAGTGGATCAGAGCCTCACCATGCCCCAGAAGGAATCAGAGACCCAAACGGAGGTGTTCCTAAGACCACCGGAAGTGAACACACTCCGAGAGTGGGGTCAAATGATCCTCCCAGATGGGAAACACAAGGGCAAGACCTTCGAAGAGGCCTACACCGATCAGAACTATGTGTTTCAACTCCGAAACCGAAGGGCAACATCAACATGGGTCAGGAATTTCCAGATGTACGGAAAAGCGAGGGTGCATCACGATCACACTCATTCGCAGGAGATGTTCAACAAGGGGATCCCTGTGACCTCGGAGATGCTCAGTCAGATCGTGACCAAGGCAGGAAACATGATCCCTATCCCAAAGGCCTTGCCGAAGGCAGAGCTAAAGGGGACGCCAAGTGTGGCATCCGAGGAGTGGGTGAAGGTCAAGGGAAAGCAAGTTCCGAAGGTCGACCTGCTCAAACGCCCAGTTTCCGAGGTGACGAGAAGCGAAGCTCCTCAATCATCCATGATGATGGAACCCAATGCCGCGAAAGTCCAACAGATTCAAACGCAGATCGCTTTGCTCCAACGGGATCTGGCCAAAGAGATACAGATCCCAAGCGAAGCAGAGTCGAGCTGAATGATGAAATTTCAAGTCTGGTGAGCTACATTGATAGCTATACACCACTGCCTCGATTGACCGCCGTTCAGGAAAAGTTGATTCACCAGGAGCTAGCCCTTAAGATTGAGGAAATTCAGGACGGCTTGTCCACTCTCCCAAAGAATGCTGGCAAAATGGAGAATCAACAACACCTGAAATCAGGAACCAGGAATGGCCACCTCCAAAGTCGGCCGCTGGACTTATTAGAGGTTTATTGTGGGCCCAATTCCCAAATCACCACCCATGTGAACCAAAAAGGGGGACATGCCATGAGGTTCACTTTTAATGATGGGGATTTAGGTACCCTCGAAGGAGTCCAGAAACTTTGGTTGTGGATTTACATGTATGAACCTCGCCATATTTGGTTAGCACCGGAATGCAGGCTTTGGGGAAAATTCTCTAACTTGAACATGTCAAAAAGTCATGAACTTTGTGAAAAGATTGTTCGAGAACGACTCCACAATAAACATCATCTCCGGTTATGCAATGAGATTTACCTTTATCAAAGTTGTAAAAGAAGGCATGTCCATCTTGAACAACCTAGCGAATCATCAATGATGTCACAGGAAGAACTGAATGATTTTCGGGAAGGGTCCCTCCAATCAACCTTTGACATGTGCCGGGTGGGGAAATTACGGTTACCAAGAAAAGGGGATTTTCTTCGAAAGAGAACCAGTGTCAACACCACAAGTGGGTACATGGATTTTCACCTCCATCAAAAGTACTGTAAACATGACCATGCACATGAGGTTATCCAGGGATCCATGAGACATGAGGGACAACGCATTAATGTGTCCGAATACGCGTCTCCGTACACTTCCATTTTTGGGGCATTTGTTGCTGAGAAGATTTTGGAGGAGTGTAGGATTGGGGAACCTCCTGTTGTGCTTTTTGGAAGCCCGCACGATGTTTTTGCTGTTGATCGAAAACATGAATCCCCTGACCTGGCACCGGAAGATTCCCAAAGCCAAAAGAGGCGAAGGTACGGAATTAAAGGGCCACCCCGTGGACCAGATGCTGAAAACGGTGGATCACCGCCACATGGAGGGTATGGCAGGTTCCCTACGTGGGAGGGTGTTATCAAAGGTTTGTCTAGCACTTTACCACGTGTTGGGAATTTGGTTTTGAAAGGCGATGATCCCCAGTGTGCAGATTTTCATGCATTGGTTCCGGAACTGACAGTCAAATTGGTTCTGCTTTGTAGAGGTACCGAAAGGTACCGAGTGCCTGGTAGCCTTGCGGGTCCAAACGAAATGCCTTGGCGCAAAACAGTTATTGCGGATAGGACTTCAGGAAGAGTTGTTGATTTGGGGCCCCCTGAGAACTGGTGGTGCTTATCAAAAATCAAACAAACGCGTAAGGCAGGACCAGCAAGAATTTCTGTTACAGTGTTTGGCACCAAAGCGGAACCAAGTGTAGGATCCTCACATCAAGTTCCAGTCGATGAAATCTCCGAACCTGGTGAATCAATGGTTCCCGATGTAAACAAGTCACCAGACATGGAGGTAGCATGTAAAAGGGGAGAGTCCCTTGCAAAGGAGGACCAACCAGGGCCCCTCGTAAGTGTTCCAAGTTTGGAGGGTGACCAGAGAATGATGCATAGAGACGGGGAAGTAAGTGATGGGAGTATTGGGGAACCAGGGGAGATAGAGGGTTGGGCCCCACGAATCATACCCCGAAGTGGTCCTGCATTCGAGCTTTTGGACGTCCATCAGAGAAACGATCTGAAGCGTCTCCATGCGAACCTAGGTCACCCCAGCCCAGAAAGATTGTGTCGCCTGCTGTCAGAACAGGGAGCCGATCAAAGGGTTGTCTGTGCAGCACGGGACTATCAATGTGATGTATGCGTCGAAAACCATAGAGGGCCCAAATTGGCAAATCCATCTACCATCCATGAACACAGGGATTTCAATGATGTTGTTGGTTGTGATGGGGCTTACTGGAAGGGGAGCATGGGTGTTACCTATCATTTTCTTCATTTCATTGATGAGTCCACGCTGTTTCATCTTGGGGCCCTCAGTGGACGCACAGTCGACGAACAAATATCCACTTTTGAAAATGTTTGGCTGCAGTGGGCCGGTCCATGCAAAACATTATATTTGGACCCCGCTGGAGAATATGTGAATGACAAGTGGCACACCCATCTCCAGCAGGAAAACATCCAAGTTTCAATGTCTGCGGGAGACAGTCACTGGCAGCTGGGAAGAACAGAGGCCCATGGGAAAATAATCAAACAGATGTTGACTGCAATGGATGTGGAGAAGCCTATTGAGGGTGTCGATGAGTTTAAGAGGTGTCTGAGGCAGGCATTTGCAGCGAAGAACTCAATGGGTCAGACAAGGGGTTTCAGTCCTGAACAAGCGTTGTTGGGGAAGGCACGGTCTCTCCCAGGGTCTCTAATGGCTGATGAACAAACAGCTGCCCACGCCCTGCTAGACGCCGACACTCCAGATGGCATGCGTTTCCGAGAAGATTTAGCACGTAGAGAAAGGGCAAGACGTGCCTTTCTTTCTGCTGACAACGACCAGGCCATTCGTAGAGCTCTTCTCCGCCGACCCCGAATTGCCATCAATCATTTTCAGAAAGGGGATTGGGTACTTTATTGGAGGAAGCATAAGGGGAACATGAAGGGAGACAGAGGCCGATGGCATGGACCTGGACAGATCGTTGTCTGTGAAAATCAAAAGGTCGTGTGGATATCCCACAGCGGGTACCTCATCCGGGCAAGTCCACAACAAATTCGACCCGCGTCAATGCGAGAATTCCGAGCCATCAGTCGAAGTTTGGGGGGTAGTGTCCATGGGATAAGGGTTGACCCTAAGTGTAAGAATTTCGTTGATTTGGGGAGTCATGAACCACCTGTTGATGAAATTGAACATGATGCATCGGAATCAATTGACGCCGTTCCAAATGCCCCGGTGAGTGTTGCCTCGAGTCAACCTGATGGCGAAGTCTTTCCTCCCGAAGGGTTTTCAAATGGATCTTATACCCCTACATCACTGGTCCCCACAGAAGGGGATGAGAATATGCCTGAAGAGACTGAGGAACCCGAGGAGGAGAGAGCGAAAGAGGCCCATGAAATACCTGTACCAGACGACGGCCAGGATCTTCTGTTTGGGGATGATGTTAGTTGTGAACCAGGGGGTCCAGGGTTTTGGGAGATTGGTTTTGAGAGTGGTCCGAAAATGGATGTTGAAGGGGGTTTTGATGTTTCATTTTGTGATGTCCCCGAAGTAGGAGAATGGCTGCTTCTGGCAACAGATTCCCGGAAACAAAAAGTGGAAATCCAATGGAAAAACCTCACAGATGCCGACCGTGTGAAGTTTCAAAATGCCAAAGACAAGGAAATAAAAGCTTGGGTTAGCCACAAAACAGTTTGTAGGCTAAGGGAACTTTGAGGGATGATCAGATCATGCGGTGCAGATGGATCTTCACATGGAAACCACCAGCCCCCGGCACAACAGAGGAGCGTGCCAAGGCACGCCTTGTAATTCGCGGATTTGAGGATCCAGAGCTGAGTTCCATTGCAGCGGATGCGCCTACCCTGTCGAAAGATGGTAAACAGTTGATTTTGCAACAGGTTGCAAGCAGGGGATGGAGGTTGATCAACTTTGACATTTCCACTGCTTTCTTAAAGGGCGCAGGCGATGGAAGAAAGCTTGGGATCCACGCACCACCGGAACTCAAACGGGCCATTGGCTTACAGAATGAAGAACAATGCGGTCTTTTGGGTGGAGCATACGGCAGGGCAGATGCCCCTCTTTTATGGTATAAGACACTCCGTGAAACAATGGAGAGTCTGGGCTTCGTAGTCAGCCCTTTTGATGGCTGCGTTTTCACATTGGTGACAAAAGGCCAAGATGGAAAACCCAAAGTACATGGATGTGTAGGACTACACGTTGACGATGGAATCGGAGGGGGTGATCAATACTTTAGGGAAGTCATTGGGAAACTCCGTAGGAAATTTGAGTTTGGAGCCTACAATGAAGGGGATTTTGAGTTTTGTGGAGTCCGATACTATCAATGGGATGATGGGTCCATTGAGATGAATCAAGATTCCTATGTTCAAAAGATTCACCCCATCGAGATTCCCCGAAATCGTCGCCAGCAAAGCCAGAGTTCTCTCACACCACTGGAGATTCAGCAGCTTCGTCAAATTTGCGGAAGCTTACAATACGCTGCGGTGCATACTCGTCCTGACCTTTCAGCAAAGGTAGGCGAGCTTCAATCAGCGGTGGCTTCTGGAAAGGTGGAACACCTCATTAATGCAAACCGAGTTCTATACGAAGCCAAAGCAAATCCAGTGAGTTTGATGATCGTGCCCATACCGGAACATACAGTGACGTTTTGTGCCTTTTCAGATGCTTCCTTTGAAACTGGTAAGGGTAGGTCTACGAGGCAGGGTACACTCATTTTCTCGACAGACGGGAAGCTTGAGGATAATGTCAAAACTGTTGTATGTCCGGTTGCATGGTCTTCAAAGAAGATCCCAAGAGTGGTGCGAAGCACCTTGAGCGCTGAGGCCATTGCCTTAGGATCAACACTAGACAGGCTGAGTTGGATACGAGTGTTTTGGGAGTGGTTGAAGGACCCATCTGTAGACTGGTCAAATCCCAGCGATGTTCTTTGCAGGGCGCCACGGTCAGTTGTTGCAACTGACTGTAAGTCAGTATATGACTTATCAACCAAAACCTCAACACCAGCCTGTTCAGAAAGCAGAACAACTTTAGAATGCCTTCTGATCCGTGAAAGGCTCCAAGAGAACTGTCGTTTAAGATGGGTAAACAGCAAGGCCATGTTGGCTGACTGTTTGACAAAGTCCATGGACGGCCAGGTCCTTAGGCAAGCACTACTTGTAGGGCGTTATACCTTGTTTGATGAAAAGACAGTACTCCAACAAAGAGCCAATAAAAGAGCGCAACTAAAGTGGATCAATGAGGGAACAGAGCATGATGCTGTAAAAATGGAGGAAACAAAACGATGAAACAGTGGACACCATGGTTCAGCTGTGAGTCTAATTTTGTTTGTTGCTTTGTTTATTTGGATTTTTGATGAGTGTAAATGTTCCAACATTTCCTCAATCCAGCTGGTCCTCATTTCCTTTTTCCTCCATTCAGCATGTCACCATAGTTCATGGCCATAATTCCATCGACGGCCGTTCGCCGCTTGCCGCAGAAGGGTGGGCGGGAGGAGACAGATTTGGGAGCGAAACACAGGGTGTCGCATTGCATTGGTGTGGTCAGGGAACCCCGGAACTTAACATTAAGGGGATAATATTCACAATATATATATATATGTATATATATATATGTACGTATGTATATATATATACCACATTGAACATATACCTGTAACTAACTTCATCATGGCACAGCACTGTTGGCTTCTGGGATGCACACATGACCGTGTTCCATGTTCTGTTCTGTCGAGGGGAAGCACCGAGCCCCTGAATTCGTCCACTTTTCAGGGACCATATACGAAGAAACAAAGTTGATCTCTTGATGGGCATTAAAGTGGGATGCGGGTCAATTTTCTCCCCCAAAAAAGGATGGCATAATAATACATAATACTCAAATTGATCTATTTTGTGAGCCCAAAAGTTTACCCTCCAGCAAACTAACATAGCTATGGAAAATGGTCGATTTATAGATCATTTACCTATTGAAATAGTGATTTCCCAGTTCGCAAAGTGTTAGTTTACCAGAGGCTACACAGTTGCATCCCAATCATTGCCAATCTTAGATACCCTGCAAAAAATGACAAATTCTTTGCTGGTGAACGTAGATATTCCCATTGAGACCAAAAGACTAGTTAGGATTAAAGTATCCATCTAAGATTGACCTAGCAGTTACATCCAGGTACATCTTCGATGCTTCCCAGCCCCAGGGAATGATGCCCAAATTCTGCGGGTCAACAGTCATTCGATGATCGTTGTTCGAAGCATTTCGCCAAGGCCGATTTTCAATCTTTGGACGTTCGTGAATAGCTGTTGACCCAATCATCACATCAAACACCAACAATTTTCATATCCGGAGATCATCAACAGTAAACGAGGTCTGGTGAGATCCACATTAAGTTCACAACCATTGCACGCAGAAATTCCCATCGTCTTCCCATCATGTTCCATTTGGGCCATGCTCAATTTTAAAGCATACCCCCTGGTAAACATACAAAAAGCTATTGAACATGGCCATAGAAATAGTGGATTTACCCATTCAAAATGGTGGATCTTTCCAGAGTTTTTTGTATGCTTACCAGAGGGTAGCTCTATTCCAGATTGTTGCTGAAAAAACACCCTGATTATTATTAATCCCATAACATTTCTAGAAAATCATTTGGTGTTATAACGTAATGTTTTCTAGAAAATAATAGGCATGTTTTGATTGTTTTGCTGAAAAAACATGTCTGAAATGCCTATTCAATTCCCAAAACATCATATATTGGTTATTATTAAGTCCCATTGTGGCGGTCCAGTGGGTCTTCCTGCTATCACATCCCCAAACAAAATCCCCAGTCTACTCCCAGAACATCTTCCATTCATGCTTTTTAGGCATTTGTCCATTGGCATGGTTCAATTACAATTACCACGAATTCTGATATAAAACCGTTTTTTTTTTAAAATTTATGGTAGCCTAAATCCAGTCAGTCATCATTTTCAACAGCTGGGAGATTCCCCTGTGAAAAAACACATCCAATTATACATCCCTGTGGCGATTTCACCCTATGGAAATCACAATTTTCAACCAGTAAATCATATGAACATCACGGTAAATCAATCCGGTCCATTGAAATCACCATTTCCCTATGGAAATTCAACCAGTCTATCGGCAAATCACCAGATTCAATGGACCATCGTTCCGCGTTCCGCAACAGCTGAAAAAGCGGTGCGATGAATCTCATGATCTCCGCGTGGAATCCCCATGATCTCCGCATGTTTATCGCCTATGAATTCACGGAAGCCCATCAGGTACAATAAAACATCGTCGAATTCATAATCTGGTTGGTGGTATACCAAATTCATATGCTTTAATATGGTTTAATATGGATAATAATGGGATAATAATGGGATAACAATATCATACAATATCTGGCTGGTGGTTTGAACCACCTACCCCTCTGAAAAATCATGGAGTGAGTTCGTCAGTTGGGATGATGACATTCATTCCCAACTGAACATGGAACGTCATAATCCATTCCATGGTTCCAGTCACCACCAATCAGATATCATAGAACATCTATACCATATATACCATCCATTAAGCCAACCAATCATCAACCACCAGGTACATTATATAAGGGAATATCACATATATCATCTATACCATATATAGGCCATGGTCGATTCATAGGCCAAGTAATCCACATATGCCGCCCGCCTCATGCAGGATGCACTGCACTTTTCCTGCGGAGAAAGGGAGGGAGTTTTCCACCGAGACTCGGGGTCGTCTTTTAAGCCTGGTACAGTACCCAAAGTCATAGCTACTGTTGATGGTTGCGAAATCCGATAAACCACCAAAAGGATGGTTGAAACCCCTATAAATAATGGGATGAACCACCGTTTTCAACTGGTGTAGGATTTCGCAACCATCCACAGTAGTTTAGTAAAAGCCACCTCAACCATAAGGCCAAAATCCTGGACTAATGGATGGTTATTCCCCCAGCATGATCATTTCAGTTTCCCTGGCAAAATACCATACCTGGAGAGTCAAGCAGCCATGGGAAAACGAGTTTTTTTTTCCTACCAAGCTTCGCATCTGGGAACAACCCGTTTTTTTGGGTTTTAATCTCGGTTTCTGTTCAACATCTTCCACTTTTTGCTGAACACTTGGCAGTTTCTGTTGAGAAAACAACCAACGCTTTACGGTATTTTTTTTCGGGTTTGGGAATTTCCAACACCATCCGTTCATAGTTGGAAAGCATCCTCCATAAATTCCATGGTCCCAGTCATATTTATATATACATATATATATATATATACAAATATATATATATATACAAATATATATATATACATATGTGTATATATATATGTACATGTAATTACATATTTAATATATATATATATGTATATGTATATGTATCTGTATATGTATATGTATATGTATATGTATATGTATATACAGACATCATATATGTGTTTTCTATAAATCCCCTAGATCCACTATTTGGTGATTCTAGGGGGTTCTTCACGGAGGAAGGGATTCAAATGATGCCTGAGATTTCCCCCGTCCGGGTGATGTGGAAAACCTGATCTTCCGAAAGATTCAAAAACGATGCCTGAAAAATGGTTTTCGCGTCCACATGACCACATGAACACCTTAGAATACCTTAGAATATCTAGATATAACCTAATACCCTAATACCACATTTTTTTGAATCTAGTCTTAGAATATCTTAGATACAAATGATACAAACATGATACCCTGGAACATCAAACTTTTGGTCTCACTCATAAGTAACATACGAAAGTAAGACAAACTACTCATCAGTAAACCCCCAACTCAAGGTCCAAATACTGCGGTTATCTGAAGGAAACAATATGGAGTTTTTCCATAGTGAAGCTGAAACAAAAAACAACATCATATTGGATTCTCTACATCTATTATGTTCATCTATTGTATGGTATTCTCATCTCAAATTTACCCAATGCCTTATACTTATATTTCATCCAATGGTCTATCTCGTGCTTATCGCTGATGTTTGTTTTCATGTGCATTCCCGATTTGCGTATTTATGACCACCAACATCACATATGATATACATATATATATGATATCATATACCATCTGGTTATGACTAACATAGCCATGGAAAATCACCATTTTTAAGAACGGTAAACCCAGGTAAACCATCTATTTCTATGGGTCATCTATACCATGGCTATGTTAGTCATAACCAGAGGTCAACATTGGGGTACCCAAAATATTTTCGAGTAGATGGTTAAGACTAAACATAGACTTAAACATAGATAAGTGAAAAAACCACAATAGTGTAATATCAAAATATCAAACCATATTATTAACAGACCATCCTATATCAAATATATCCTATACCATACATCCTATATCAAATATACTATACCATAAACTATGTCATAAATCATATATCATAAAACATACAATATATCACGTATCATATCATAGAACATATATACCCTCTGGCAATTTAACATAGCTATAGACAATCACCATTTTTAATAGGTAAACCATCTATTTCTATGGGCCATTTTTCATAGCTTTTTGTTAGTTTACCAGAGGGTATATCATCATATATCCCATTAAGTCCCATTGAATCCCATTAAATCTCATTAAATCACCATTAAATCCCATTAAATCCCATTAAATCCCATTGAATCACCATTGAATCATATATACCATATATACCATATATATATATATACCATCCATGAACCATCCACAATCATCAACCACCCGTGGATCCATCGATTTCTAACCGCGCCTTTTAGGTGCTTTGCCAGCCACGAGTAAAACAAGCGCCACCAGGAAATCGACCTGAGATAAGATCGGCGCCGGAAGCGACATGGATCGAGGGAACTGAAGAAACAAAGAGAAGATCCGTTTTCCTAAATCCGAATCATAATCTGAGAATTTAGAGAATCATGAATCATGATTATGATTATGGAAACCTGAGAATTTAGAGATTTCCATAATCTGAAGATCCGTTTTTGTCGACCAACAACATCCTCAAAAACTCGGGTTTCCAATCGAAGTGTTGAAGGGCCAGCATGCATTACAAAGTCAATCCGAGTGCTGAACTTGATGTTTCATGGGCATTTTACACTTGTTGATTTCTTAGTATGCAAAGTGTTTCCGATCCCAATCGCACTTCATTCATGGTA